ATGAGATCTCGCTGCCCAGGCGGGTCTCGAACCTGCGGGCTCAGGCAATCCACTCACCTCGGCCTCCCAAAGTGCAGGATTACAGGCTGAGCCACCCAGCCCAGCTTCCTCAGGTCATTTCTATGGCTAGTTGGCGACTGATAATTTTCTAGAATATCTCCTGTGGGTACTTCTGCCTCAGGGTACAAATTTGAGTGCGATGAAGAGCTGTCCTTGAGTTCTTCTAGAGAGCAATTTTAAGATACCTTTCACCTGTTTTAGAAGGTGCTTTAAAACTGAACCTGAGGGTCATGACAGAGCTTTCTGGAACACCCAAGCTTCTTTTGACATCACATCCGCAGTAGTTTACCGCTGAAATACCAGAAAAATATTTTCTGGAGTGTCTGACTTTCAGCATTAGCTAGCAGCGCTATTTGCCAAAAACAAAAAACTCCAAAAATGCTGGGCCATCCTGACTGAACAAATACTTCTGGAATCTTCTGCACAGTTACAGATGCTGAGTACTTCCTCTATGACAGTTCCACATTAGTCATCCCCCTCTGAAGGGCCGCGGGCTCCAGCGCAAGCCACTGTCAGGTAGTCCTCTAGCGGTCCTTAAACTCAAGGGGGACTTTTCCTTCTTTTTCTCTTTGCCTGCCTTTCAACAGTAAGGAAATCACATTTCCACTTTGCACATGGCCTTCCCCTAGCCCGGCTCCTCGACCTTGGGAGCTCGACCCAGTTCTCTTTGCCACCTTCTTTGCGTGGGGTGTCTTGCTGCCCTGTATTTCTGTATTGCTTCTGGTCCCTTGAGTTTCCAGCTCATGCGAAAGCAGATGAAGACAATGCTTGAGAGGTTTTCTTTATCTGAGAAGATGTTTTCTTTTCTAAGATTATGTTACCAGGTCAGGTGAGCGGACCCTGCAATCCCGAGCCAGGAGAAGGTCTTGGAGAACCTTCCCGTTCGTTCCTCTTGGTCCCCGTGTGATTCAGCTGCCACCAGTGAGGAGGACACCTGTGACTCCTGGAACTCCTGTTTATCTTTTAGGCCAAGTACCTCTGCTAGGGGAGCTGTGGCGTACTCATCGGTAGCTTTGTTTTTGACCATTCCACATCCATCTTTCTCCTGCTTAAAACAGCAGAGGACGGAAGGTGAGTACCTTTTAGGCAAGGATGGAGACAACTGTTTCTGTGCTCATGGCTCTTTCCAACTTGCTCAGTATCTACTGAATTTTTTTTTTTTTGAGCTGGAGACTCACTCTGTCACCCAGACTGGAGGGCAGTGACTGCTTCTGGCCATCGCAGCCTCGACCTGCTGGGCCCCGGCAGTCCTTCCGCCTCAGCCTTCCCAGTAGCCGGAACTACAGGCGCGCGCTACCACGCCCGGCTCACTTTTGATTTATTGTAGAGACGAGTGCTCTCCAAGTTGCCCGGGAGGGTCTCGAACCCGTGGGCTCAGGCAATCCACTCGCCTTGGCCTCCCAAAGTGCTGGGATGACAGGCTGAGCCACCGAGCCCGGCCTGTATCTACTGAATTTAATTCAGGTTTCCTGAAAATGCCTAAACCAATACAAGGCTGCCGTGCCGAGGCTCAGATCAAACAAACCAGGCCAATTTCCCTTGTAGGCGTCAAGTTATCTGGGCTTTGCCCTGAGATCCACCTCGCCAACAACTTGAATTAAAGCAATGCCAAGGGCCCAATCTTCCGGATGGCAGCAGATGTGAACTCAGGGACCATGCTTCCTGCATGAACGGAAGTGACCCCCAGGTCTGTAAGGAGCTGACAACGAGGCTGGGGGCGGTATGCACTGGGACGCTCTGGGTGAGGGCTTTTGTCTCAGAATCTGGCTTTTCTTCGTTGGGGAGGGGCTGCTTCTCCTGCTCCAGTCCTGGTCGCCCCCCTTGCCTGGGCCTCTTCTACCCATAGAGAAGGTCTCTCTTGGGGGAACCTAGCAAGCACATTCGTGTCTCTAAATTCTCGTGGCATGTTCAAATGCTTGTTAAAAATTCTGTCTATACAAATGGGAACATACGAAATCAAACCGAAATTCTGTCTCCCACAGAAATTCCATCAAGATTCTCTCATCTCTACCAGCATGAGCCTGTGTGGTGGGTCATTTGTGCAAGCAGGTCTACGTGCCTGTTTCACAACGACAAGCCCTGCTGTGGCTCTGCAGAGGCCCCAGGCCCTTCCAGCATGTTCTTGCTGGGCAGAGGCAAAGGCAGAGAGAAGCATGGGCTCCTCCATCACCTTCAACCATACCTATTTGAAGGTGGACCCACTTGGATTGAGAAGCTTGTGTTTTTCCCTCATTCACACACACTTTGGGTATAGAAACATTCCCAAAGGCAGATCAGACTAATTCATGGACACCTTCCTCGACGGTCTTGAACCCGCGGGCTCAGGCAATCCACTCACCTCAGACTCCCAAAGGCGCCGGATTACTAGCTGAGCCACCGAGCCCAGCTAGAAACAGCATTTTGACATTTGCAGAATCACAGCCTTTTCTTGCAAGATGTACACCTGGCCCCTGCCCGTTGAGTTTACAGCGAGGACCATCGGTTCTGGCCAGGTCCCTTCCTTATTTGCAAGTGGCAGACAGAGGCAGGAAAAGGGCAGTAGCTCCTGGCTTGAGCAGAACTAACAGAGCGGATAATCGGTGAATGTACACTGGCCAGCCCTGATCCTGGAATGTGGAGTTCAGAGAGACAGTCATTCACCGTCACTACAGCCACCACTGTTTTCATCTTATTTCCTGTTTTCACTCCTGATCGGGCCACATTTCTGGCACAGGAAGGTGAGGCCAGAGTAAGTTTAGACTCGGAGTCTTGGAGGATTTGTGTCTTCCCCTTTTCTGTCTGAAACTCTTGGCGGAGAGGCAGTTTTGTACCTGCGTCCAACGTGGTGCAGCAGGCATTGGAACCAGGGCGGAGGGGAGACTAGGTAGGTACCAGGCAGTCTGCAGGCTGTGTAGCCCTGTCTGTGGACATGAGACTATGGCGGGAGGTGGTGGTAGGAATGGCTGAGAGGGGGTCTGTGGCACAGAGGAGAATAGCTCTGTGTGACCAAGCTTTAGGACACAGAGAAGGGGCCTCAGAAGCCAGCTGGGAGGAAGAGTCTCAGTGACAACAAAGGAAGAACAGGGAAGTGAGGGTCAGAAGGAGGACACTGCAGCAGGAGCAAGCCCAAGGAGCAAGCCTGCAGGGAGAGGAAGCCCCGCCAGGAGTCTGCACTCGGCAGGAATGCAATTCGTGTGCACACAAGGGTGCTGGATGGAATCTACCAGTCGATTCCTGGAACCTGGAATCTTTTCAGAGGAAGAAGCTGAAGCTGGCCGGGCGGCACACGCCTATAATCCCAGCCCTTTGGGAGGCTGAGGTGAGAGGATTGCCTGAGCCCATGGGTTCGAGACCCGCCTGGACAACTTGGCGAGACCTCTTCTCTACAATAAATCAAAAAATAAGCCGGGCGTGGTGGCGTGTGCCTGTAGTTCCAGCTTCTTGGAAGGCTGAGGCGGAAGGATCGCTGGAGTCCAGCAGCTCGAGGCTGCGGCGGCTCTGAGTGTGCCACTGCACTCCAGCCTGGGCGATGGAGTGAGACTCTTGACTCAAATAAAAAGATAGCCAGACAGGGAAGGATGGGGGGAATTACCAGCTTCTTCAGTCAGCTCTCGAATTAATGGTCAATTCAACATTTTTGTTCAATAGCTTGTTAACGTATTCAGCAAATTGGTGCAAGTGTATGTATGTGGTTTTAGACCATAAGAGCTGTCATTGTCCCTACTGTTACAGAGAGTCCCGTTTCAGATGTGTCAGTCAATAATGTGAGATCATAGCCGGGCTCGGTGGCTCAGCCTGTAATCCCACACTTCGGGAGGCTGAGGTGAGTGGGTTGCCTGAGCCCGCGGGTTCGAGACCCGCCTGGGCAACTTGGTGAGACCTCATCTCTACAATAAATCAAAAAAAATTAGCCGGACGTGGTAGCGCACCTGTAATTCCGGCTACTGGGAAGGCTGAGGCGGAAGGATCGCCGGAGCCCAGCAGGTGGAGGCTGCGGTGGCCGGGAGCAGCCACTGCACTCCGGTCTGGGAGACAGAGTGAGACTCCAACTCAAAAAATAAATAATAATGTGAGATCACTGCTCAAGTGCACAGAAAGAGGAGGCAGAGAAGTGACATGAAATCCACCCCAGAGCTGTCTCAGGACCGCTATTCTTGATTTTCCAGAAGTCCCAGAACAGCCTGTGTGAGTCACCCTGGAAAAACACGCAGCCCCACTTTCCACGGAAGCAGGCAACCAAGCCAACCAAGCCACGATTCCTGCCTGGGAGCTGCCCCAGCGTCTCTGCCAGGAGAACAAGCTGATTTGTGCTTGGGGCCTAGTCGGGGTCTGTGCCCAGTTCGCTGGAGTGAGAGGACATTGCCCAGGGTCAGGAATGCCACCAGCGCCAGCACGGGTACAGGCCAGGAGAAAGACCCCAAGATCATGATGTGCACTCAGACAGAACTGGAAGCAGAGTCTGTGACTAGGAAGGCAGGACCCAAGGTTCAGGACTCGCACCAGGACCGGGACGCAGCAGAGCAGTTTGCCAACCTCGGTCCCAAGCAGATTCAGATTCAGAGCAGGAGGGCAGCCGGACACAGTTATGTCTCCCCAAAGGAATCGGAGTGAGGCCAGAGAGGCAGCTTGCCCACTGGGAGCATCCCCAGCCAGTCTTAAACCCAGGTAGCTCCGTTGGCAACCCCCTTGCCTTCTGGAAGCCTCACTCGGGCGGCTCCTTTCACAGTCCTGATGGTAACAGGGAACATGTCCTGGTGATGTGAAAAACCCCAAATAGCTGCAAAGTGAATTCTTTTCTCTGCTTCTGGAGGGTCCGTGGCCAGTCTCCTGGCAGACGGAGAGGCAAGGGTTAAACTGAATGGGAGTCTGTGTCAGGGCCCTGCCTATTTAAATTGAGTGTCTCTGACAGCACCAGGCTCTCAGTGGATGTGACTTGGATGTTGGTAAGCCACCCGCTGGCAGATTTAGTAGGGTGAGGCCTTTTGAAGTCTAAAGTTTTGACTGCTAATCTCTGGGAAGCGTGTCACATATTACACTGCTAGAGGGTGGTGGTGTCCAAAACCAACACTCTGGTCTGCTTTTCTCGGGCCAAAGGGCTTCGTGGCACAGCAAGCAGAGGGAAGTGTGTGGCATGCACATCAGCTTTATCCGCTTGTGTTTCTTTGGTGCTGGCAACCCAAGGGCTCCACATCGGTGGAAAAAAATGCTGCAAGATTTTCAGACAGAAAGCTTATAGTGCCAGGCCTGTAAGCCGGCAGTCTTGGCATTTAAAAAACGGGTTTAGTTCTTCAGGGAGCAATGCATAGCACATGGTGCCAACCTCAGTAAGATGTCGGAGGACCAGCACGGAGGAGGCTTTTAAGATTCTCAAGTTCCATTTCACCATTTACAAATTGTCCACCATTTTGGTCCTGAGCCGATGGCTTGTTTATTGAATCCTCGTGAAATTCAAGGCGGGGAGGGAACAGTAATGTAAGAGATACCCACGAGCCTCTGTGGACACAAGTGTGTATGTCACCACTGTCCCTTTAGATATTTAGATTCACTCTTTCTCATTTCAATAACAAAACTGATCCCAAAATTAAGGCGACTGGCCTCCCTACATCCTAAACTGTTGACACCTTAAAGGCTTTTGGCATACTCTCCTAGTATCTTGGAGTTCGTTTTAAAATGTAAATGTAAAAGTGTTAGGTGAGTTTTTTTTTTAATTTTTTAATTATTATTATTATTATTTTTGAGTTGGAGTCTCACTCTTTTTGCCCAGGCTGGAGTTCAGTGGCATGCTCGTGGCCACCGCAGCCTTGGCCCGCTGGGCTTATGCGATCCTTCCACCTCAACCTTCCAAGTAGCTGAGCTGGAACTACAGGTGTGCACCACCACACCCAGCTAGTTTTTTTGATTTATTGTAGAGATGAGGTCTCACCAAGTTGCCCAGGCTGGTCTTGAACCTCTGGGCTCAGGCAATCCTCTCACCTCGGCCTCCCAAAGTGCTGGGATTACAGGCTGAGCCACCGTGCCTGATCTTTTTTTTTTTTTTTTTTTTTGAGTCAGGGTCTCTCATTCTGTCTCCCCGGCTGGAGTGCAGTGACACAATCACAGCTCACTACTGCCTCTACTTCCTGAGCTCAAGTGATCACCCTGCCTCAGCCTCCCAAGTAACTGGGACTACAGGCTCAGGCCACCATACCCAACTAACTTCTTGATTTTTTTTTTCTTTTTGTAAAGACAAGGTCTCACTGTGTTGCTCAGACTGGTCTGAAACTTCTGGGCTCAAGCAATCATCCTGCCTCGGCCTTCCAAAGTGCTGGAATAACAGGCATGAGCCACTGCACCCAGCCCTAAAATGTAACTTTTTTTTTTTGAGTTGGGATCTCACTCTGTTGCCCTGGCTGGAGTGCAGTAGTATGCTCACTGCCACTGCAGCTTCGACCTGCTGGGCTCAGACGATCCTTCCCCCTCACCCTTCCAAGTAGCTGGAACTACCGGCATGCACCACCACACCCGGCTAATTTTTTGATTTATTGTAGGGACGAGGTCTCACCATGTTGCCCAGGCGGGTCTCGAACCTACAGGTTAAGGCAGTCTTCCCCTCTCTGCCTCCCAAAGTGCTGGGATTATAGGCATGAGCCCCTGTGCCGGGCAAAAATGTCACTTTTTAAAAATAAAAACAAATGATAACTTTAGAAAAAATATTGTCAGCTATCAATGCTGTCACATACAGAGCAATTTTAAAAAGAAAACAAACTATAATGCACAGTGTTTTCTTTTTCAGTAATTCTTTAAATCATAGATTACAAAACACTTGTCTCTCATTCCTGGTTTTAGTTAGAATCTTTTTTTCCTACACACCGACAATGCTCTTATTTGAAATTAAGAATTTGTGAATGATCCTGGAACGTAGACTATTTTGACTTAAAAACTCATGTGAGGCTGGGCTCAGTGGCTCAGCCTGTCATCCCAGCACTTTGGGAGGCCAAGGCAAGTGGATTGCCTGAGCCTGCGGGTTCGAGACCAGCCCAGGCAACTTGGCGAGACCTCGTCTCCACAATAAATCAAAAATTAGCCAGGCACGGTAGTACACGCCTGTAGTTCCAGCTACTTGGAAGGCTAAGGCAGAAGGATCACCGGAGCCCAGCTGGTTGGTGCTGGGGTGGCTGTGAGTGTGTCACTGCACTCCAACCTGGTCCATGGAGTGAGACTCCAACTCAAAAAAAAAAAAGCTCATGTGGCGTCCTCCCAGCGACTGGACTGAGAAGGGTGGCCAGGAGGCATCTATCAAACACGAACTTGGCATTTATTGAGCGAGTCATCCTTACAGTGCCACCAAGATGAATAAATCTCAGACCATCCCTTGTAAGGCTTAAAGTCCAGTGTAGTCAGAATTAAGATATATAAAGTATACCCCCCCCCCTTCTAGGTATATATCTACAAGAATTGAAATCAGGATCTCAAAAGATGTTTATACACCCTGGTTCACAATAACCAAAAGCAGGAAGCAACCCAAGCGTCCATAGATAGACAAATGGATAAACAGAGTGTGGTCTGTCCGTACCGCAGAATATTATGCAGGCTTAGAAAGGAAGGAAAATCTGACGTTTGTTACAATAGGGATCCATTTTGAGGTCATTATGCTGAGCAAAAGAGGCCAGGCACAAAAAGATAGATTCATGGAGCCATCAAATCTGTAGAGCCAGAAAGTAGAATGGAACTTTCCAGGGCCTGAGGGGAGGAGAGAATGGGCGTTGTGTTCACTGGATACAGTTTCATTTTTGTAAAATGAAAGAAAGTTTTGGAGACTAGTTGCTCGATGAGGTGAATATACTTAACACTACCAAACTATAAACTTAAAAATGGTTAAAACAGGTGTGATGACTCAAGCCTGTCATCCCAGCACTTTGGGAGGTCGAGGTGAGAGGATTGCCTAAGTTCAGGGGTTCAAGACCAGCCTGGGCAACTTGGCAAGACCTCATCTCTACAATAAGTCAAAAAAATAAAATAAGCCAGGTGTGGTAGCATATGCCTGTGGTTCCAGCTACCTGGAAGGCTGAGGCGGAAGGATGAGCCCAGTAGGTCCAGGCTGCAGTGGCCATGAGCGTGTGGCTGCACTCCAGTCTGGTTGACAGAGTGAGACTCCAACTCAAAAAAAAAAAAGAAGTGGTTAAGATATAGTGAAAAAAATGTGGAAGAGTAGTATATGTAGAAAGTGATGGGAGCACAGGAAAAGCACTGGCCCAGCCTGAGAGTCTGTGATGGTTAATTTTATGTGTTCACGTGACTGGGCCAGGGGGTGCCTAGATGTTTGGGCAAACATTTTGGTGTGTCTGGATGAAATTCACATTTGAATTGGCCGACCGAGTAAAGCAGGTTTGCCCTCCACAATGCGGGTGGGCCTTGTCCAGTCAGCTGAAGGCTTGAATAGAACAGAAAACTGACACTACCCACAGTAAGACAGAATCATTTCTGCCTAACTACCTTCAAGCTGGAACACCATTTTGGGGTTTTTTTCCCCCTGCTTTCAGACTCAGATGGAAACATCAGCTTCTCCTAGGTCCTGAGCCCACCAGTGTTTGCAACTCTTCTGGTTATCAGGTCTTCGGACTAGGACCAGAATGAAGCCATTGGCTCTCCTGGATCTCCGGCTAACTTAACCTACAGTCCTGAGGGACTTGTCAGCTTTCATAATCACAGAAGCCAATTCCATATGATAAATCTCTCTTCCCATGTGCACACACACACACACACACACACACACACACACACACACACACACAC